ACGTTCGTACGTCGTTTAATTAACGAGATTTGTACATTAGCTTAATAAAACATTTCATTCACGATTTCTTACACGCAACAATCAGATACAAGTAGCAGTTTGTACTCATTACAAAATATTTCTGACTTTCGGTATGAATTCACCCAGGTTCAATGTGGGATAACGTCGGCCCAATTCTGTCGATCTGTGTATGTTTGCAGAGGATCTCGTTTAGTTTGGAAAACGCGCCTTTTCTTCTCCAATTTTCCAGCAGAATTACATTCGCCTCCCAATAAGAAAAAGATACCACCGTTCTGCCGTGCACTCGCGGTTTCACGTGTAGTACCGATTATGTTTTTTCGAATTTCGGCGTCAGTTTTCGTTGTCGTTTTACAGGCATCTGCGAACGCAAACAGAAGAAAGTCAATCACGGCCCTTTTCGCCTCCGCTCGCCGCCGACGCACGAGTGGCCCGTCCACGCCGGCCAGGGCACCGGGACCAACGACCGTTTCGCGCACGCATTCGCTCGCACGCACGCACGCAACGCCCCGCCCACTCTTACGCAGTCCGAAGGACTAGAGACCGAGGCAATTGCCACTACGAGTCGTGCAGATTTTCGCTACTTCCGATTGAAGAATAATTTTCATTACGATCAGAGTCTGAATCGAACAGAAGTAATTTTACTTTTAATATATATTTTTGACTGAAGAGTCAGATGATTTTTATGTAACCGATGAACCAATGAATGCTGTTTGTACCTGACAATAAAAGAAGCGGCAGCACCTGAAGAAGTAGTATACATGTAGCACTGTTAAGTTCATGGTTTTGTGAAGCCACGAATTGGCCTTCGTCCGAGAGCATATTCACACTCCTTAATAGGGATATGTGGAATTCTCAACATGTCAATAATTGTAATGTTAAAAACGTAAGTAACCGTGGCTGAGGATAATGCTGACGAAGTATTTAAAGATGCGTAGAAAATGTGGCGCCGGAGAAAACAAAAGCTTCATCGATGTGAAAATGAGCAGATATTTCCTTACAGCTATTATTACGTCGGCTTGCTATTATATCCAGATATGGAGGGAGCAGACACAAGAAGTATTGTGTGTATTTTCTAAAAAAGCTAGAGAAAGAGAAAAATAGGTAATGAAGCAGAAACATAGAAAGAGAGATGCGAGAGAAGCCAGAGAGGAGAAGGGAGGGAGGGAAGGGAGGATATGAAAAGCGAAGATCCTTTCCTGCATTTTTTATGGCCAGGTCGGAGGTCGTGGGTGGTGGGTTTCTTTTCGATGCCTTTACTCGTGATTAAGGGCGGCCCGTAAAGGCCCTCTGCGTGCGCAGGGTACGGAAATGGGTGGGCACGCCGAGAATAGGCGGCGTGATGAAAGGGACTGTGAGGTATGAAAAACAGCCTCTCGGCGCGCCTGTCGAGGGAACGAATCTCCGCCTGCCCGTTGAGGGAATTTCTTACCTGTCAAAACGCAGAGCTCGCCAAAGCACAGAAAAACGCCTCGGGGTGGAATTACATACGAAACCGGAATTTCTAGTGCCGCAGTCCGGTCAACCTCATCCCCTCTCACGCAGAGCACGCAAGCGACAGAGGTTTGCATGCAAGTGTTGAGATCATCGAACCAGTGGGTTCCGAAAGTCGAATCGGATTTAATATCCTCAAACGTGTTAGCTCCGCTTACTCGCCTAAGTAATTAAGTACAACATTGTTTTGGCATGCCCTTATTGCTATGTATACTTGGCATATCAGAATCACTATCAGGCGCTTTCTCATACTACCTTGCAGGTGTAAGATATTTGTCCAGATAGTCACTCGAAGTACATTAATAAGGTTTGACATGTTGCCTCAGCTGAAATTAGAATGAATAAAAGATTATTTAAAAATGGTACCTTATTATGTGTCAAATCTTACATTTTGCTAAAAGGGGACGAAAATCAACGAATTATTTTTTGAGAGTTTACTAGATGAGGTGATTTAAAATCAATTTGCAGTAGTCCCCCTTTACAAACGTTGGAAACTTGGGTCTAGGTTCTTCTCATTAGAGAAAATTTTATGGCAAAATTCGAATCACATCCTGCCTATTATCTGAAAGACCGACATATTTTTTGACAGATAGTCACAGATCGCTGGTACTTGGCGATTGAATAATCCATATTTGAATGTTGGTAAATTCCTCTTCAGTGATAGAGAGAAGCCAATACTAAATTGGAAAACGTACGCTATAAAATAACAAATAAAATACTCTTTCCGACATAAATGTGGACTGCGGCCTCGCAAAATAACCCGTTGTCGTGGTCATAAATGAACGATATGCAAATTATAACTAATAATAATAATAAAATAATAATAAATAATAATAATAATGTCTTTATAATTGGTGACGGCTGCGGCCTTTAGGGCGTCCCAAACAAGAGAAACAAGGTGGTTTTTGAAAATGCCTCGTAAGGAGCGCCCTCGTTAATAGCAAAGCCTGCTTGCGTCCGTAGTCTTCCGAAAAGAACGAGAACAAGGTGGTTTCTGGAACCACCTCGCAAGGGAGCATCCTCATGCTAGAGCTGCCTTCTTCGCAGTCACAACTCCATCAGGCAGGCACTTGCCTCCGCCGCGCTCGTGCGCGCCACTCCTCCGCACGCCTCCACGGCGCCGCGCGAGGCGCCGACGTGGAGCATGGCGCGGCGCGGGCGGCGTGAGACGCGCGGAAGCAGCGGCGGCGACGGCGACGGGCGACGGCGCATTCGCACGTAGGCCCCAAAAGCAGGTCAAAGGCGCGCCAAGCCCCTCATGATCGCAGCGGAGGCGCGGGGTCTGAACATGTAGTGCCCAGCCACTTCAGTGTTCTATGCGGAAGTTACGTTATTATTCATTTGTTAAGTTGTAGTTATCGAAAGCGTATTTATTCGAGTTTTTTAAATGGGTGGTGTCGGTTACTGAAGAAAATTAGTAAATAATGTGAATATATTCTTATCGGCTTATGAGTAGGGGGGGCTAAAGCCCCCGCAAGCCCTTGTCGGCTTAGGCGTCCACGGTAGTATGTGGAGCACATTTTCACGCGAATTTAATTACACCTATTTGCAGTTGTGGAATGATGGTAGACAATTGATAACTATGTGACTTCGAAAACTGTCAGAAATGGGTCTGTTTCAAAACACCGTTGTTCATATTTTAAAAAATCGATGCTCAAAATACATTGGACGGAAAACTATCGATATTTTATACATTGATGCTTTTAAAATATGGAAAATTTCTGAACCTATTTTTAGTGACCTCTTAACATCAATGTATCACCATAGGAGGGGGGCGATTTCATTTGAAAATGGACTTTTATATTAATTTATAATAGACATTTATCTTGACAAAACAAATTCAAATAATTTTTGAAACTTTTATTATAATGATTTGATAATATAAAAACAATAACTACATTTATCAACAAAAACTCAAATAATTTATTATTTTAAGTCCTTTGGTCACTTCGGTCTTGAAGAATATTCAATTTATGGATATCTGAAAATTATTTAAGTTTTAATCATACTTTTTTTTCATTTCAAAAAAATGAAATATCAACTCCAAAAAATTGGCGGGCGCGATGTTGTAACGGTTAGCGTACTGTACTGTGTACCCTAAGTTTGGCGGGTTCAAACCCGATTGAAGCCGTGGATTTTTAAGGCGAAAAAAATCCTTCGTACACCTTCCTCTCGAGAGGAAGTAAAGCCGGCTGTCCCATGTCGTAGATTTAACTTGCCATTAAAAAGATCCTCAAGCCTAAATGACGCCTCTGAGCTAAATTCAAAATCGCCTGATTTCTCGCCCAAGAAATACCTCCTTTCTCTCCCTAGTGGTTGAAAGAGCGTAGCGAAATTTGCGTGGTCAGACGGAAAGAGCGGCCTGATGGCCGAAGTCTCGCCACGTAAAATAAGGCAAATTCAATTCAATTCAAAAATACATCGAGTCGAAATTCATCGATGATAAAAATATCGGCTTTTAATAAATCGATTTAAATACATCGATGTTTTGAAGCCCTCGACATCAAGTATGCCTGGTAGGTGCGTCCCCCTTCGCGAGGCGCGCGGGCGCACTGTGACGCCGCGCAGAAGGCGCGGTCTGGCGCAGCGCGCTGAGGAATGCGCGCTGTCCGTATGCCCGGCCACGCCGCAGCCTCGCCAGCTATTTGGTCACCGGCGCAACCTCTTTCAGTCGCCCGCGGCCTCCAGCCCCCACCCCCACCCTTCACCCCCACCCCTTGAGACCCGCCCCGCATTTTGTTTTAGGAGTAGGTCGAAAACTCTTCCTGGAAGGCCACGGGATTTTTTTTTTTTGTCAATCCGGAATATTAATCGTTTCTTTTATTAAGAAGAGTATTGGGGAGGATTTAGGAACACGGATTTTCTTCTAAAGGGAAACACGAGGATACGTGTGGATGAAACGAAGGATATCGATTACAGTATGGGTTCTATGTTGATTAACTGTGAAAATGTCAATATTCTAGAGGGAAAATAAGTTGGACTTAAGATTCGTGTCGGAAAATCCTGAAGTGCCCTGTTTTCATGTTCCTTTTGGGGTCAGATGGGAGAGTTACTGAGAAAAAATGGTGATTAGCAGTCAACGCAAGTCAGTTAATTATTTATTGTATAAAACTGAAATAATAACCAATAAACTTCTTGTCCTAGATACGGTCTTTGCATAAATTTCAATGAATTGCGTCCCTCGTTTCCAATGCCATTTCTGTTATACGTAATTTGTCACGTAGTCCATTAGAAAATATTCGTGTCTTTTTGGTACACGTGTCAATGATATTTTAACTTACTTAAAATGAGATGTGAATGCAACGATCGCAGATGACGTATAGACATAATTGAAACAATTTGTGCTCTGACTATATTCAACATTTTCAATGCCCCAAATGATATTTTTTCTGCCTATACTAGATACGAGGTGATCAGATCTAATATAATCGAATCACCAATATTAAAACCGGTATTACTAATATTGAAAACAAAATGATCAATAACCCATGTACCGGAAGTATTGCAACGAGCTGTTCATCCGCGCCAAGGAGCCTAACCTCTTTGTAGCTCGTGTCTGCTTCAGCCGCCGGAGTGGGGGTCCTCGACGCACGCGCTGCCCTTCTCCAAAAACTCGGACGCGCGGACATTTCCCGCTTCCTCCCCGCGAAGGCAGGCAGGCAGGTGGGCAGGTGGACAGGCGGCAGGCGGAAGGCCCAGGAAGCGCGCAACACGCGAATATCCTGCGACGGACACGCGCTTCGCGAGGAAGCGGAGCTCGCCACGGAAAGGAACAATGCGATTTCCGAGCGAGGTTGAAGGTCCTCGAAAGCAACGATTTTTGGTGTTTCCTCCGATCATAAAATTCTGCAAGTTGTGCAATGGAAATGGGTGAAATCATTGCGGGGTGGTTGTAGAAGTAATTTAAAGTTATGAACTAAGTGGTGGACAAATAGCAAAACGCCACATAATTTGTCCAGTGGAAAAGGAGATTCAGTTCTTGGCACTGAAGTAGAACACATGAAGGCAATGAGAGCCGCATTCCGATGTCTCATGTATTACAAAGGTGCAAGTGACAGTCACATTCGTTTTTACAAATGTACACATTTAATTTGTTATATTGAAATTGTTGTATTGATATGGCTTTTCCCCGTGACAATATACTGGAACAAGACCTAAGTGTTCTGTGAAGTACACATTTATAAGAAAATAAAAATAATTCAAATAAAAATACATACAACATTTGTAGTGGGAACGAAACCCAATTCAATTAAGTACGGCTTTGCCTAACGTTACTATGTACAGTACAGCCTCTGGAAGCCGTATTTTTTTAATGACCAGAGAAATTTTACGGCATTTTGTAGCCTAACATCTATACCGAAAAAATGTGGAATTGTGAAGATTCAGAATTAGGTCACTCTACCCGAGATTATAAGAACTCATTTTTAAGTTTGTTTTTTTTTATTTTGTTAATTCAAAGTTCTATACAAGTTACGTTACACTTAAATATACATAGGAATTTCATAATAAAATCTTTTCTTTCTGTATGAGAAAACTTCATGAGGCCTCGATGATGTGGTAAGTGTTAAAATAAAATTATAATTAGAAGGTTATTTTGTTCAATTGTTTTTGAAAAGTTAGTTTTTATTCACTTATTTATTTTTCTAGTAGTTAATTTAAAATGGCCGAAATTTGTCTTTAGGGAATTTGGATTTGATTGAAGTGGTGGTGGTTGTTCCCCTCCTCTCTAGCTCTCCACTCTTGTGGCAGAAGATTGGAAAATGTCTGTACAGATGGGCTGTGTGCACATACCTTGCGATTTTTTTAACATAGTGGACCTGATATTCGATTCAAGCTCTGTTTAATTCTGACAACGCAGTGTGTCTTTACGACTATAATATATACCAAAGGAGCTAAATTCTATTATTTCATGGCAACCAGTAGTTATAGTCGCAATTAGCACATGTTACTTGGTGGCCCTTCTGGGACTCCCTAAAATCGTTTCTCGGTTACATAGAGGACCGCGGTTAGAAACTATTTCTGATGATGAAGGAAATTTTGACAGGGAAAAAACTTAAATGTATATTAAAGAAATTGAATAGTGTTCTACTATTTATTATAATTAGTTATTAATATGGGAGATTAATTTCGTCCAGTAATTTTTGACGGGTTACCCCTATTAATTTACCTTACCCAAAATATTTCTTTTGATCATTTTATTTTTCGTTTCTCGAAACTTATTACCAAGTTTAAAATGTATTTCCTCGTTTTCGCTCACCCACCCGCTGCCCTGCGCTTCCGTTTGTTGCACCGCTCTGCTTCATTCTCCGAAGTTGTGTTCCGAGGCGAGAGCGCGCTCGTGGTAACGAAACCACTTTACAGCTGCATTCCTCGAAGAGGCTGACGGCACGCGAGCGGCAGGGACTTCCCCGCGTCGCCGCACTCTGCGGTCGGGTGCCCCGTCCGCCCACTGCGCCCCTGGGCGGATACGGCCCCCGGCACGCCACACGGGCTGCCGCAGCGTTGAGAGGAAAAAATTATGGATCGTACCTTTCATTAGTGTTGTGATTTGCCGTACAAAAAATTTACTTGTGCTGAAACGGCAGATTGGCACTTGATAGGGAAAGCTAGCGGTTAGCTTGTGTTGCACAATTTAGAACAACTGGAACGATTGTTAGAGGACAGAACGTTTTAGCAAAAAGGTGCAAATCAACTTGTAAGATTTTTGTCTTTGAAAAGACGCCCCCTAAGATATGAAAGAAAAATTAGTATATCATGGGTCGTCTCAGACGATTCTCTGCATTTTTTAGACTTCCTTCTACAAAAGAATGAAAGAAGCTTGTTGCCTTTGTATACTTGTTCATGTGATGGGAATAGTTGATTGGGTCGAAAACACCAACTATCATACATGATCGCATCTAGCTGAAAATGCATTATCTCTAAAGTGATTTGGGATAATTCAATATATCACAAATTGAACAAACTCGTGGAGACAATTTCCTACACAAAAGTGCGTGTAGTTAAAATTATGTAGAAAACTAAAGATATATTAAGAGAAAGTAAAAAAGAAAGAAGAATAGAAGTCGCACGAGATGACAAACAACATCAATACTAACTAATCATGCTCACGTTTCACCCGGGGCTTTTAATCATGGGAAACAAACTATCCTCCGCTGGGAACAACTACCATTGTTCTCCTTCATTTGAGGTAACCACTGACACGAAGACACTCACGGCTGCCCTCACCCACCTCCACCTATCCTGAATGCATTTCCCGGCGCCTGCCCGAAACAACGAAGCACTTCCTGCTCTTCCCACGTGCAGGAAGAACATGTCTAAGAGTAAACAATGCCCAGCGCGGGTTACTCAACACCTTCGCGAAGAAGAAAGCCGAAGAAAGTGCAGGTTTATTCGATGCGAATACGTTCTCCAGGACGATTAAACTCGAGAAAGGACTGCGGGTAATTAGCGTGGACGGCTTTTATCGCGATCCGCGTGCCTGCGCCCTTTCCCCTCCCCTTCCCCCTCCCCCGCCATGTTGTCGTGGCGCCCGAACGCGAATCCGTATAAACAAAAAGGCGTCGTTTCTCTTTTTTCCACGCAGCTACCCTTGCATGCCGGCACGGTCTAAAGTGGCGGGCTTTTCTGCAGCTTTCGTGACAGTGAGGCGAGGTGTCCATCTTCGAGGCGACTGGTCTGCTTCTTTGGAGGATGGTTTTGTTAAAAACATCTGTCCAAAGAATCGACACGAACCCTGTTTTTGATATCTTTTTCTCTCGGGAGAAAATGCGTCTATCAAGTACTTTTGTGGGAAGATGCTGGCTATCTGCGATTTATCATTGGAAATATGATTTAACTAATGGAATAATGGATTTAAATATGATTAGAACTTTAATTTATAACTAAGATTTAACATATAGTATGTTTAAACGTGTTTATGTACGTAAAAAATAGCAAATCAGTTTGTTTTCTTTTGTTTTTTGGCAATAAAATTAAATATATTTCAAGTGTCTAAAATTGACTATATAATATAACCAATACTGCTTGTTGGTGTCAGTTAACTACGGAAACATGAATTTCACCATAGTTAATTCTTTTAAGTAGAATACTATAATGAGATTTCTGTTATCGGAGGTTTTTTTTTCCTTTTTTCCACCGAGTGATAATGGAACTGTGAACAGAATTTATTATCTTTTATGAAATAAGACGTATCTATTTAATTCAATAATACTTCCAATCAAATCATTACTACAATTTCTTAACTACACTAGGTTGTTAGCGTTGATTATGTTCCTCTCGAATTTGAGACTGTTACGTTAATGACTAATATTTGTTCACGTATTGGCATAACATCAATAGTAATGTTTTGTTGTGTTTTTGCCCGCAGGTCTAGACAACAGCCGGCATGATCCTTCGGCACCCGGCAGCAGCCGCGGCTGCTGCGCTGGTCGCCATCTTGGCGTGCGCGCTGGCGCCGGCCTCCGCCCAGGTGAGTGTCCGAACGAACGAACGGTCAAGGGCGGCCCAACTGGGTCAGCGATCGGCCCGCTCCCTCCTGCGTTTTGTTGTGCGGCGCGGCCTGCGATCCCTATCTACGCAACCCTCCGCTGCGTGGCACGCCACACCACGCCGGCCCGCCACCCCGCGCCGAGAGCGTGAAGGATAAGTCACGTGGGGGCCGACGCGCTAGAGATTGCGGGCGCGAGGGGGCGTGGTCGCAAACGCGGGTCGGTGCCGCCGAATTCCAATTGCGAAGCCGTTTCTCTTCATGAAGGGGCTGATAAAAATAATAGTGATTTCCTTAGCAATGGACAATGTATTGAGCGGTTTTGCTTGTGTCTAATGACTCCCCTTCGCTGTATTTAAGAAATTAGAAGTCAACTCTGTCTTTGAAAAATGGTCAATCAACTTGTTAGTCTTATAGAAATATAATGTTCCGTTTTCATAAAATTCATGTTAGTTTTAATGTGGAGCTGTAGGAAAATGACTATCATTCGGTTGCTATATTGTCATGTTTAACTGAGGAATCATCAATATATTTTTTACATAAGGTACCTAATTTTATATTAAATGATTCTTAAATAATAGAAAATTCTTTTTGTAAATACACTCAAATGCAAAAAAATGTTTGTTTTGTGATGATTTGATAAATGGGGAGAACAATATAAAAACATTATTTTCTAGTTTAAAACAGTTATAAAATTATAAACAAAAGTTTTGTCGGTGAACTGTTTGGTTTCAAGTAAAAAATAGTTGAGTAGGCTGCAACGTTGTTTATTTAAATTAGAAAACTATTGAAAAAAGTTCAAAAGCATTTCCAGATGAATATTTTTCTCAAAAATATTATTACACGTATTTAAATTCAAAAACTAATAATACATGTACATATTGTTTACAATAAACAGAACAATAAATAATAAAATTCAGTAAATACTTCCTTTTTGGTGTATATACATCAATGTCCTTCTGAAGAAGAAAAATAAAAAAGATAAAAAAATAAAATATAATTTTTTTTTCATGATCTTCAACTTTGTTTCGAAATAAGTCGTTTTGACATGCCACACGTTTAGCTAGCAGAGTAAGGAGACAAATAAAATCAAAACCGCGCTCGGTTGAGCACGGCAGTAAATTACGCATGCAATGGCAAACAGCCTACTCGTCGTAACATGGTCATTGAAGACATTAGCGTTAGCAGAAGGTCAAATGAATCAGTGAACACTCAATAAGGACACGCAAGGCCTTGGTTAACTAATGGTACTCATTAGTAAAGCAGCCCCAGCCCCCAGGAAATAGAATGTGTGCTAAACTATAACGGCTGTTCTTTCTCAGAGCGAAACTACATGACGCGGTCTGCGTCATTCATCGTTAGATTCAGTCATCCGCTGCGTCACTAGAAAGGTTAATACCTCGTGTCCGAAATTCCTCTCTGAGAAAGTTTCCCAAGTGACAAACGTACCGCGAAGGAAAGCTTGGCGTAAGCTGCGCTGAAACGAACCTAATTGTCTCAATCAAGAAACCCGGCGCAAACTAATCGATGGCCACGCCTTCTCTCGATAAATCGATCGCGGCGGCGAACCGGCGGCAGGACCCGAGACAGGGAAAGTGGGGGTTCGCGCGGCACGCCGCCCACCAGTTCCTGGTGTGCTCGATGAAACGCGGAGACAGCCGGAGACGGCTGAATGAGCGGGTCACTCATTGTGGGTATTAGGCTAGCGGCACACACGAGAGTCAAATGATGGACGTTGAAGTGCGTCAGTCGGAGCATGAACGAACACACGCGTTCCGTCGCACACAAGCGCGTTACGTGACGTGGATTGAAATTAGCGTCCGTTACCTAGCCGACAACGGACGTCAAACGCTAGCCAATGTGCAATACTCCTTAACGCACGTTGTTGCTTCAGTGGGAAATGTTTGCTTGTTGGCACAATCTTCGTTGCGACGGACGTGAGCTATAAATCACTTTTATATACACACACCTATTGCAGAACAATTGAAATATGGACAGAATAGTCGCGGAATAGAAGAAGTGGAGTGGAAAAGCGCCTGGGATGTTGGGACAGGTTAATTTATAAAAATAAATTTTAGAAAAGCGTGGAGGAAAGTGATATTTTTTACTCGGCATTCCAATCAAAAACCAATGAGGAGAAAAAAGCCGTTAGTCGTCTTGCAATCGACCATAAATGTTTGTGAAATTCAGCATACAAATAACTTTCATTATTTATCGGATGAGCAAACGACCTCCATTTTCCATTTTTTAGCAATTTCACTTTCATATTACCTATAATTAGTGTTTCCTTATAATTCATGTTGGTTTACTATTTACCCGCGATCACACACAATTCCGTGCGAACAACGCGCGTCTTAACGTATCGTGTGTCCAACGAAACAACTTACATTGACGACGTCCGTTGCGTGATGCTTGGATGCCGCTAACCTAAGGACTCGACGTTCTGGAAACGAAATGCGGGTGGGAGGCGCTGCTAACCGCGCAATGGACTGCGCTGGATCGAAGGGAAAGTGCAGAGCGGGTTGCATGCAACTAGGACACTTCGCGCGGAACGGAAGTAGAGGATGCTGATTAGATCACTCGTTTAGATTAGCGTTTTCGGAAGGAAATTGGTCAAAATTATGTTATTCGCATGACAACTTTTACAACTTATATTCCCCTCTCACTTTTATCATTAGAAATGATTTTGAAGGTGGAGTAGATTAATGTATATAAAATATTATGAGTAACACAATTTCAGAACAATTTTTTAAATATTTGATAGTCTTCTCAATGTATTTTCTAAGATCTATCCATCTTCAATCTATTAGAAGCCCTTTAATTTCTCCGCCTTCATACCAACTATACCGAACACATCTCTAAAACGATTATTTTGGAATTGGTTCGAAACATGCTGGTATTTATTTACCTTTTAAGTATTTGGCTCGGCATTAATTTAGAGAAAACTCTATTTCTTCCATAATTATGTACATCTTTTAGCTTAAATTATTACCTGAATAAATTATTACCTTAAAAAGGTAAACACAAGAAACTGAAAGTGAAAACGAATTCGCGTGCGATCTTCATTGGCCCGGCGTCGCAGAATTCATTGACGTATCCGTGATTCAAGGACCATTTCACTACACAATTTTCAGTCGATTTACGACCCTTTCCAGCACGTTCTGTCGCGCATATTTCCTGCGATGTCCGGTGGCATAGGATGCTTTGGGAAAGCTGTAATCAAAGGGAAAGGACCGCGACGACCACTTTCCAACAGCTTCCGGAGGCGTCTTGCATTTGCTTTGGGCAGCGGAGCGGGGCGTGGCCGCGGGCGGGGAGGGGGGCACGGAGGAGATACAGGCGGTGGAGAAGACGAGGGCCGCTAATGAACCTTTAGAAGAGGTAAGAAGAGGCGGCAACGTAAAAATGACCACGAAAGCAGTCGATGTAGCAGCAGAGGAGAATTCCAGGATCGACAGTTCTAGAGATGGGTATCGGGGTTGGTGAAGGAGTTGCGAATGAGATGATAGAGCCGCCAAGGGTGGTGAGGTGAAGACGGAGAAGGCAGGAATAACAACATGCGGGTGGGGGATAGAAACAGCGGAAGCCCCAAAGCATCCGAAGCGACGCAGACAGAAACTGTGGAAGCGCCAGGAGTAAAACCGTGGGCAGGGACGGAGGCAATGGAAGCGCTGTGAAGCGGCGAAGGCGGAGAAACCTCGGCGGGGGCGGCGCATCCGCGCAGGAACCGCAGTCCAGCTCCCCCGCGCCGCGGCACACTAAACTTCACCTACTTAACCACCTGCGCGAGGACCCCGCCCCTCCGCGCCCCTCCGCCGCCCCTCCGCGCCCCGCCTCTCCGCGCCTTGCCCCTCGCGGCCTGCCCCTCCCGCGCCCCGCCCCTCCGCGCCCGCCCTCCGCGCCCGCCCCTCCTCGCCCCGCCCCTTGCGCCCCGCCCCTTTGCGCCCCGCCCCTTTTGCGCCCGCCCTTCCACGCCCCGCCCCTGCCAGCCCCGCCCCTCCACGCCCCGCCCCTCCACGCCCGCCCCTCCACGCCCGCCCCTCCACGCCCCGCCCCTCCACGCCGCCCCTCCACGCCCCGCCCCTCCACGCCCGCCCTTCGCGCCACCGCCCCTCCGCGCCCTGCCGTGCCACCTCTGCCGGCGACGGCAAGTCCAGTCCGCGCTGTCGGGAGGAGAATCCTTGCGCCCGCTGCTAGGTACTTTGTCATGGATTCTCCAACCAACACAAGGTGAATGCCGAGAAGGACTTAACTAATGGGCAACAAATGGACCACCCGCGATCTTTCCTTTCTAGTTTTTCTTGACCCTCACTCTTTACACACAAATGCACATACACACACACACCTATTCTCTACACTACAACACATAGCGGGAGACCAGTAGGAAGTACAGAGCGTGTATCGGTTTGGGCAGTGCCCCGTTGGTGGATATACCCGAGGAGGGAAATCCCACAGGCCTACGTGTAGGTTGAAGTCGGATTTCACGTCCTTGAGGAGGAGAAACACAGCCACCTCTCGACAGCTAACACACCCTTCACTTACGTAACTAATGGCCATTGCAGTTGACGCGCCTGGAAACACAAAATAATTAACCAATAGTTATCACCTCTGCCACAGCTCACCGAGGCGGCCACCGTAGCCGGAGTCGCATTCTCAAAGCGTAATATTCCTTAAATGTTTAGAGCCTCCACCCCGTAGACTGCGTTCCATCGCTGCGAACGCCATATGGCTGCTGCTATCATACTGCGTAGACCGTCGTAATTGCGAGAGGTGGGACGATTTGTTAGCCTGCCTCCGACTCGGGGCGACAATCCTCGACTTCTGGAGTCGCTCACCTTGGTTCCAAAGCCAGATGGAACATACAAAATACGTCGAGTTGGGATGTTATTCACGAAACGTCGTTCTCAGAGATAGATGCTTAAAAATCTTTGTAGGAGTTGAATTAGTGTATATCAAAGCACTACGAAGAGGTTCAACAAGCTATTAATCTATTAAAAATTAAATAGTTGTGAAAAAGTTTGTAGAATTTGTCATACACGTATATTCGGCTTCTATAATGTTTTATTATTCTAGATATTCTTTAAGCGGGGGAATTATAATGCAAAATGTAAGTCATATTTTTCACGTAGAATTCAAAGAGGCCTTCTGATTTTTTCCACAGCGAAAACTGTTATTTGTAATAACTATTTAGCAATTCTGAAGTTTATTCTATATTACTGTTATGTAACTCATATTTAAGGACTTATTTTATTTGGAATTTTTTCTATTATTCTTCATAAATCGAAAGATTTATCAATTCTATTTTTAAACGCGCGGTGAAACGTAGTCTTTCAAAATGCTACTTTCATTTTGTCGGAAACAAGATGAAAACGAAATCTTCCAAAATGTTTAGGTCTTTTGGGAACACTACGCTAAACTTTTTACATTTTTTGTGACCGTACGCTAGACATTTTATTAGCTAGTTAGTCGGCCTACACATCGACACGTAACTGACGGTGAATTGGAGAATTGCCGTGAAACAGATGAAGGCAACCTAGTAGGTAAGGGCCCGTGAGCGGGAGAAAATATTATGTTGAAGGAAAGTTCCATTCATTGCGTGGTTTATGAAGAGGTCTTGAGCAGAACTGGCATCTCTTTTTGGCCTATTGCGAAATTTTATGGACCTGACCAAGCCATTTTCGGTTTGAGGTAAGCTTGAACGCAGAGTTGCCAGACTATAAAGAATGTAACACCATTTATTCACAAACATCTCGGCGCACAAGTTAGCCGGAACCAAATGCCATAATACAATTGAAGCACTTCCGTCAAGTGACTTAACATTTGGCATAATGTACTCCCTTAAAAACTTGAATGATTATCTGAATAATCATCTGTAATGAAGTTGTAATATTGATTAATCAAGGCTTTCGTGAATGTTATGGTCTATAGGTTGAAAATCAAAATTTATATCCTATTACATTCTACAAGCCTGTGTTAATAATTCCCTGACAAGACGATCCTAATAAACCAAATATCGAATGAGATCCATTTTATTTATTATAAGAACGGAACGAGTTATAGTACATTTCACCTGAAATGGTTATCGTGTCGATTAATACTGACGAAAATTATGTTGGCTGAATGGTGGTTGAGCAATGGTGGAGAGTGGGAGTCGGGAGTAACCGGGGAAGCCCGAGGAAATCGGTAACGAATCCTCTTATTTCTACCACAAAAATCCCCGCAAACTGGGAATACAGCGCAAGTCTCCGGAAACGATATCGGTCGCCGCCAAGCCAAGGGCTCCCAGCCTCCCCATTTCAAACGCATTAGGTAAAATAAGAAATCTCTCTGGCTGAAGCCCAGTGAGCCCGGTTCGAGGCTGAGGGAGGGTCGTCAGGCCGCGTGGGCGGAATGACGACAGCGACGCCCCTGGCGGAGGGGCGGAGGGGTGGGGGACGATGCGCGACGGCCAGGGAGCATCGCGAACGGACGACAGCTGCAATCGGAGGCGTGGGCGGCAGCGTCCTCGAGGACAGAGGAACCTCCGCACACGGCGGAGTGGCATAATCCCTGAGGACGCAAGGGGATTGCAAATCGTCATCTTCATAAAAAAATAGTACTTTTGTCCAATAAAGGAAATTTAAGGAGAATAAAAATAACTAAACATTCAGGCAGCGAAATAAAAAATCTAATTTAATGGTTCGGTTTTGTTGTTATTATCATTATTGAGAATATTACAATTATTATGAATTATTTAATAAAAGTAATATTTTATTTTTTATAATCTTTCACTTTTTTAAAGAACTAAGCTCCTAAATTACCCTCAAGATTTCCAGGTTTTTTTCATGCTTTTAATTGCTATTAATTCATGCTTTAAATTTTCCATTACAATTCGTTGGATAATGAAAATAAATTGTAGGCACGTTATATAAGTACGTATAAGTATATGATATTGCAGAGATATTGCACGTACGTGAGTTTCTAGAAGATAACTAATGAATATCGTATGTGTTTATTAAGGGCAGGATTCGGACTACAAAAGAAAGTGAAGTAATTATAATTGTACGGGCATGAAAAAGGAAGATGACATTGTAAGTTATTCGAGTGTCGTCGGCAATAAATAAAAGCGAATGTTAATATACATTTAAATGTATAGATTATTTAGTTTAATAAAACATTAGGGACTAGAGCCGCTTCACATACATAATACGATACTAGCAAATTGTTACAATTTTTGCAGCCAAATAATGACATAAAGTTCGACACTCCTTGAGATCTTTTGAAAACGTGTCTAGAAAAAATAAACAATAAATATTGAACTGTAGATACCAAATAAAAACTAGCAACTTATTGTTTTAAAACTGTGTGACCTGAAGCCGGACTCTCCAAGAAGTAGGGTGTACAACCGGTTCTTGTCGTAAAGCCGTTCGTTCGTGGGTTGTTGTCTGGCGGGTTGAAGTACTGAAGGAGGTTCCTCGGTAATGTTCCACCGCGCGGAATTTAGCATGTCAGCTCGCCTTACGGAAACTGGGATCTGTCTGATCATGGTGCACGATACATAAAAAACCAATTCCTGGACCTTTACCGCATTACGAAAACAGCTCACGCCATTTCGTAAGCAGTCCAAATCAAAAGATTCAGTGTCCTTTTCGGAGCTTTTCTTGCTCCAATGTGTCAATTGTGGTCTATTCTCTTATAATCCGAGTTGAGTAGATTTAAGTACTGACATTTGACATATTCAGTACTAAATTAAAGACATTTTTTGAATTAATTTCTTTGTAGGAACTGCGTTTTAATTCAGTGAATTTCCCAATCCATTCGAAATATGTGAATATATGAATATCTTGTAATCGTTTTGCAGACCTTGCTTTTAACAGCGAAAGAGAGCGTATTTTGTAAAGAATTCACCCACGAATAACCAAGATAGAGTAGCAAAAATTAAAAATTAAAAATTTTAAATTTTTTTGTTCTTTTCCTAAGGATACGCTCAATTAAAACGCTCCGTCATATTATCTGAACTCACGTTCAGTTCCTCGAGCTACTACGTTTCCGTTAAAGGCCAGGGCTCCAACACGCGGCAGAAGAAATCCAGACTCCTACGATGTGTTCGGGTGAAGAGCCGCGGAGCTGCGTAATGGTCAGGGAAGGGGGGGGCGGTAGGGTCGCGGGTTGCTGCATGCCACAGCCCTCACGGGACGCCGCGGCCGACGACCCGCGCGAGGCGAGCAGCCAGCGCCAATTGCCCGTGCTGCCTACTGGGCCAAAATGGACAGAAAAAATGCCCAAAAAAACGCGCGAAGAAGATAAACAATGAGATCTCATTCTCTAAAATCCGCTACTTTTTGGAGATGAAGGTAGTGTTTGCGAAAATTGTGTAAAGTACAATAAGTTGTTGTTAATGGAATATAAAATATCCGTTTTGAATACTCACGTACGACAAATTTAAATTCAGAAACATATTTTGACATGTACTGCTTAATTTGATGTGAAATAAAAATA